TGATAAGTTAGTAAAAGATACCAAGTTATCAAAGTGTAGGAGGGTCTAACTAAAAAATGAAGTCCAGTACAAGGGTCTCTCAGGTCATTCCGCCTAACATGAACAAGAAAAAGGATACTTCAACCACATATGGTAGAAATATATAAGCAATTATCTTTACCATGATTGATTTCATCTTAATCTGTAATTTTTTCTTTACCACCAAAACTTTTCTTCTCTTTTAGAATATTATCAAGAGAACGTCGATACCCCGAATTATTGCATGTTGATGTCATTGATTCTAATATGCACCTAATGATCATGGAAAGGTTTATCCAAATCTACCCTCACAATAAAATTTATCATGTCATTTTTAGGTAATTTATATATATTTTCAAGCTTGTACACTTTCATATGAAATAACATAAAATTAGGATACTTGAAGCTCTACGCCGGTGGAGCCTAAGAACCTTCAGGACAATTGAACTGGTCAAAAGGGTAAATCACTGGCTTATATTCCTCCCAGCATCAAAGAAGGTAGTAAATGTGTGGAAAATGTTGGATTTAAAGGAGCGGAAGGAATATTGGAAAATTGCACTCATTGGATTTGTAATTGGCGATACCCTATTTTTGAAATCTATGGAGAATTTTGTTCAAAGCGTTTGGAAAATAGTAACCCCTCCCCAGATTTTGTTACATGATGATGGATATTTTGTCTTCTGATTCAACTCTATAGCTTATTCTGAAGAAATTCTGCAAGTTGGACCTTACTATTTTCATAATAAACCTCTTATGCTTCAATAATAGGAACTTAACTTTGAATTCAACCTTGACTGCATCATTACAATTCAACTATGAGTTACTTTTCCTGGTATTCCTATTGGAAATTGGTCGAGTGAAGCACTTAGTAAAGTAGCTAGTGCCATTGGGAAACCTCTCCACACAGATGTCTGTACAACTTCTATGACTAGGATTTCATATGCTCGAGTTCGTGTGAAAAATGGATGTGGCTCAACCTCTCATACACATGAGTGATCTCAGGTATTTATGGTGAGTTCCAACAAGATGTTGAGTATGAGTGGTGATAGCATCCAAGGAAGCTCTACTCCATTGAAGGACAAGGATGAAGCTTTAGAAACACCAAGAAGGCCCATAACAAGATATCAAACCAAGGAGTTCAATGATAAGCTCAACGGGCTTCAATCGCTGATCCAAAGGTGTCTTATTGGGGAAGAAGAGCTCAAGCCCAAGGGAGAGGAAATGTCCAAATGCTACAATTATTTGGTGGCCCAAATTCAAGCCCAAGATGAGGAATTTTAAGGTCCAATTTCGTGCAAATAAGGTCAAGAAGAGTCCAAGAATCAGCCACAACAAGAGTTGCTTTCTGCCTAAGTTTTGAGAGAAGACTAGTCAAACTTTCCAAGATTGTCAAGATTCTTTTCCTAGTTGGGATTTACCTTATTTATTTATTTATTTATAAATAGGTTATTAATATTTTCCTTAGTCTATTTATGGTCTCCTAAGTACCATTTAATGCTTTCCTAGAAGTACTAAATTTGTTCCTAGTTAGGTTACTTTATTTCCTTTCTAGAGTAGGATTCCTTGTAATTGTCTTTCTAGGGTTTGGCTGACCTTTTAGCTTCTTATAAGGGGTCTTGGACGTTTTTCCCCCTTCTCCTATATATAGGAGTCCTTTTCATTCATTAAAGACAATTTAGATTGATATTAATAATATTTGAGAGAGTTCTTTGAACCTTTGTGACTTGTTCTTTGAGAATTTATCTTTAAACCTTTACACTAGTTTCATAGTTTAAGGTATAAAGTAACTTCTTCTTGTGATATCTTTGGTTTCTTTTTGGTATTCTTTAGAAGGTGATTAGTTTCTACATACTAATTATTGTCTTTAGTTACTCATAAAGAGGTCAAGATCCGAATCTATCGTTTTGATTCGTTTTCTCAAGTATAGGCGTTAGATTTCTTCCATAAATCTATACGTTGTTACTTGGATCTTTTCAAGACCTTAGAACATCTAATCCTTGGAAATTCGTGGATCTTTCCTTCAAATTTCCCATATCTTTAGTTAGTTTTTTTTTGTTTCTTTTCTTTGTGCTTCCGCATTCTAATATTCAATTCTCTATTTGTGATCTCCTTAACCTTGCTGTTATCAAGTGGAGGCCAAGACATTGCGTTGAATGTATAAGGTTTGGTCACACAACTGAGAACTGTTGGAACAAGGTAAGGCTACCGAGGTTTGCGGAGCTTATCAGGAGGTAAGGAAGAAGGAAGAGAAGATGATGAAAAAGAAGCAAGGCCAACTCCCTATATAGGATTGAAAGGCAAAAGGTATACCAATACAAGTTGGCGATCACGCACAGAAGTCCAAATAGTAATGGAAGGTCAAGAAAATGGCTCCTCTTTAGATGGTTTTTCAGTCTTAGCTAGGGTAACAACTCAACCGGAGAGTCTTATAGTAAATGTTCCATTAGCTAACAAGTTTAGTGTCTTAATTACATCTGTTAACACTCAAATAGGCAACCCTCAGGGTCTGCAACAATTTGGAATGTTAGAGGACTTAACTAATCCTCTAAGTAGAAGGAGTTGAAGCTCTCTATGGCAAAGCAAAAAGTAGATGTCTTAGGAGTTTTAGAGACAAGAGTAAAAGAGAATAAGGCACACAATATCTTGAAGAAGTTAGGTGTCGAGCGATCAAATTGTTGTAACTACCTTATGGCTTCAAATGGAAGGATTTGGATTTAATGGAAGAGCTCATCTACATTACATCCTCTTGAGACAAGAACAATTCATTCACTGCAAAACTAGACCATGCCAAAAATGATCCCCCTTTCGGATTCGAGAAAGGCTAGAAATTAAAGCGAGCAAGTCACAAGCCCAAAACTGACCCTCCACGGAGCCCTAGATGGGCCATGAAGGGAACCATGACCCGTTATGGTACTCGTGACAAGAAGGCAGAACATGCCCAAAAAGGTTCCCCCTCCCACGGACCTTTAGACGGCCCGTGAGGATGACGGGTTGTACAAGTGGTCGTGAAGGGGTCAAGTCAGTAGGGATTCTCCCCTAGCCACTGGTCAAGGGCCACAGGCGTCACAACAGTCGATGAAGCCCCACACGGACCATGAAGTCGTTTGTGAAGGGTTTTTATCAGACTTAGAGTTGAGGATCAACTTCAAACGATCATAACTTTTAGCACAAAATGAATTAGGTTGCCCATGACCTATCAAATTAAAAATCTCTGAGTCCTCTATCCAACGCCATTGAGTTTTCCTAGTTCCAAGCTCGAAGTAAAAAGTTATGCCCAAAATAGGGAAGCCCTGCCAGGCAAGATTTCTTCACAACCCGTTTGACGGGCCGTGGTGTTGATGACGACCCGTTTTTGGCTTCTAGTGACCCAATTCGATAGTTTTAAGTCAGAGGTTGTAGGGTCTTTTCCTAACTGTTTTAACTCAATACTATGTCGTTTTTCCTTCTACCCAAACCCTATATAATGATTTTAAACCCCCCAAATCATCCAAACTCAATTCATTCTCTTAAATTCTCAAAAGTTGATCAAGCTTCTCCTCTCAAATATTTCTCTCTAGAAGTTGAAGAAGAAGGCTAGGGTTTCAAAAGATGTAAATGTACCTTTGTTTGATACCATGTTTTCAAAAGATGCCTTGGAAGAACATTATCATGCACCCAACTATACATCCTAGCTACAAATTCTTTTGATAGTTAGCAGCCTGGAAAAGATTAGCAACAGTGAAGAGATTACAAAATTTTGGTGTCCAAGTCCCTTTGAAGTGTGTTTTCTGCCATGCTCCTCTTGAAACCTTTGTGCACCTGTTTTTTGGTTGTCCTTTACAAGGAGATTGTGGGGTCGATTTCTTACTTGGCTAGGAATACACAAACTGAAATGCAGAACAACCGTGAGCAAATGTTATGGCTAAAAGCAAGCGAGGCAATGCAGTTATAGCTTAATATGGTTTTGGCATGTTGGTGCCCGTTATTTGGAGGGAAAGAAATCAACTAAGGTTTCAATCAGACAAGTTTCAAGATGATAATATATGCCGATAAATAGCTTGCTTTCATTTCAAAGGTAGAGAAGTAGCTAAATGAAAGCTTCCTTTGCAAAACTTGATTGGAGTGCGATGAATCGCATACTCTAGCTTCAACTCTCTGTAAAGTTAAGCAGTAATAATGACTACTTTCTTTCATTATAAGTTTAGTACAATAGCTTGTTTATCTAGTGGAGGATATGAAATACTTAGCTCACAGCTTGCAGGTTAAAATGGTTGAGAAATATGTGATCAACATCTATTTGATTCTTGTATTTCTAACTTGGTATGAAATGAATGAAGGCTGTTTTACCAAAAAAAATTATCATGCCAAAGTGACAAATTTTGATAAGATCAAATGGCACTAATTGAGAGGATAAAAATAATCTTGACCTAGGCAAATTTTTAACCAACAAAAAGTGTGTTGAGACTCCATTAGTTACAAGTTTAGACAAAGTATTTAATAACTACAAGACTTTCTTTAATCCAATATTTTTATTTCTTTTTACATGGGTATAAAATGAGAAAAATAATGGGAAAAAAATGGAAGAGAATGCCTTAGTTATTTCTTTCTTGCGTGTTTATTAAAGTATGAGGAACATCCCTTTATATGGTATGATATGAAATCATCAAATGTTACATCTCTTTAGGAGGGTATTGATAAGATATGTATAACATCATACATGTATGTATATCTAGAGGACACATCCACTTCAACTAATGAATTCATAACATCTCCGTTTAAGATATGTTACACTGTCATGTTTCTTTCACAGGTCTCCCACCTTTCTTAACAAATAACACCTACATTACGGAAAACTACCTTTCTCAATTTCGAATAAGACAGTTTGAAGTAGAGCAAGATGACATTAAATGCATTTAATTTCTAAACCCATTCTGGAGATCAATCACATCCAACAAACAAAACAAGGCATTGGCAACAATAACTACTTCTCCACAAAATTAAGAGGAAAAAAAAACACAAACTAATGTGGACAACCATCAGATTTGGAACCAAAACTAATCAATAAAAGAGTGTTAAGGATCGTCGACAAAATAGTAGAAGCCAATCAAAGTCAATAAAATGAGTACAAAGATCAGATTTTGAACCAAAAATAAGACATTACTAAATGTTAAGAATTGTTGAAAAAATAGGAATATATCAACATTATTTCATCATTGTTGATCAGAGCCTAGCATATTGAGAGCTTTGAGTATGAAAGTGTAGGTGAAGGCATCCTCCTGGAGCTTCTCAAATCTGCATCAGACACGGAAGGTTAAAACTATGAGAAGATTAGATATGCAATTTTCTCTTCATTCCTTTTTTCTATTTTATTTTTTTTCAAAAAAAATTCTTTCATCAAAAATCGCAACAGGGGAAAGGAACTCTACAGATTTTATTTTGAAAGTGGAATTGATTACATGAAGAAACACATCCGATGACCCTGAACTATTTGTACCATGGATCTCACAATAAAATCCAAAAGTTGGAAATTCCTGTAGTTCTCTACGTACCTTAAACACAGTGAGCTTGATCGAAAACTTGAGCAAATGGATATATGAACGACATGAAAAAGCTATTCGTTCACTTTCTATCTTCTCTATTTTCCATCAGACCATTCACTAAGTCCTACTGCAAAAACAATCCTTTTTCAAGTAGGATTCTATATACTATTCCTATTTTTATTCCTATTCTAAGTAGGATTGTATATACTATTCTTGTTCCAATTCCTATCCTATGTAGGAATTGTATATATTATTCTTGTTCCTATTCCTATTCTAAGTAGCATTGTATATATTATTTTTGTTCCTATTCCTATTCTAATAGATACCGTGATTAAAAAAATGAACTTTGGCGTAGCTCTCAAAAGGTAGCTCATAAGGTAAGGAACTGAGGATTGTCCAAGACCAATAAGGAAACCCAATTTCAAATTCTCAACCGCTGTGAGATCTAACACCCATACCGTGCATGCTCAGGACTGAACATCTGTGGTGTGTACCTCAGCATTCATACCAAGATTGGTGTAAACCATGAAATTGGTATGAACCTCAGCATTCATACCAAGATAAGAACTTAATGGTACCAATTTCTTATCATGGTAGCAGTGCTTGGTTGAACAAAACAAGAATCTGTCCCTCTATTTATCTCTGTGCATCTTTCTCCTATATGATACAATGAGTAGAAAGTAAAGGTCATATCTATTAAGTTCCGACTCTATTGTCCAAAAAAAAAAATCCCAACAGAACAAACTAGTCATACATCATGATTTTTTCTGCATCAAAAGACTCCGCTTTTGTTAGAAAAATTGACACAAACACCTTCTAAGGTTTTTCTGAGATAATGAGGAAACAACAATTATGTTATTATTCAAACTAATAGTTCTCTCGCACTATAAAGTGTCAGATCCTCTCTTCCCATTTCCTTATTTCTTCTATGTTCTTCCAGCAGCAGGCGAGTACTTGGAAAACCAACTTTTTCACTCTCAGGCCAACCACTCACATATATCAGTCTCACCACCAGCTATTCTGATGCACACATTAATTTCTGGTCCAAGAACTCTAGAAATCTGGTAAGTTTCTATATCTTTTCCAGTAAGGTGGAGATTAGATTATTTTCTTGATCCTTGATTACATTTTATTACCAATCATTCATTAACTTAATTGTCTTGAAACTCATCCAAAATGTCAAGGAGATTATTCTTCATAGCGGGAACTAAGTCTTTGGATATCAATGAGTCGGCTTCATCCAAGGAAAATTGGTATGACTAGATAGGGAGGATTGTACAACTTTTCCTTCGTATCCAAGATGGTCAGAAGAAGGATCAGGAGCAAAGGCTGATCCTCCCATGGTCAACAAGATTCATGTAGAAAACAAACTACTTCTTCAGAGAATGGAGTCTCTCCAAAACTGTTTGGTCCAAATATTCAAAGGCGTTCATCAAGAAATACCAACGGGTTCAGATTTGCATAGATGGGTTCACAATAAATGAAAATTTTCCTGAGGGGTTACTATGTATTAAACGAATGATTTAGGTTCCTCTTTGAACTTCCCTTAAGAGAAGTGGCCCTAAGAATCAAAATAGGCAATTACGATGGAAGAACATGGAGCTAAAAATTGACTGGTGTCAGCGGCAGCAGGGTGCATTTCTGAAAGAGGTCAACCAGATCGTGTTTGGGTTTAGATTACTGGGTTTGCTGCTCCACCTGTGGTCGCGGAACGCTTTCAGAGAAGTTAGGGAGAAAATGCAGAGCAGGCTAAAGACAGGAGAAGACCAGTCTAAAAACCATTTGTGGTGGGCTAGGGTTCGCGTTAAAGGGCACCTAGACAAGATTCTAACCTCTGTTGTAGTAGATGCAGGAGATTTCATGTTCAAAATTTATATCTGGATGGAAACCACCATGACTCGCAGCCAGAAAGACTCAGATTTGTGAAAAGGGTTTGTCGATGATACTCCAACTGGTTACAAGTCATCCATGGGGATGCTAAGCCAAATATCATGGAAAAGCTTGAAAGACTTGCAAGCTAGAAAAGGCAATACCTCTCAATGGATGGAACATTGACTCTAATCAACATCACATTGGACAGCAAACTCACATACCTAATGTTATTATTCCCTATTCTCAGCAAGGTACTGAGTATTGACGAAAGTGGACCAAATCAGGAAGAGGTTCTTACGGGATGGCAACAACAGTCAATACAAGTTCAGTCTGGTGAAATGGGACAAAGTAGACTACCAAAATAGAATGAAGGAACAGGAGTAAAATTGGCAGCACACAAGAACGTCTACTTATGAAATGGTTGTGGAGATGCAACAATGACAATGGGACCCAATGGAAACAAGTTATAATTGCCAAGGATAGGGAAGAAAGCCATTGGCACCCAAGAATATCAAGTACTCCAAATGGCACTGCTCACTAGAAATATATCAACAAACAATGAAGTAATTCAGAGAACACGGATTATTGTTTTCAGAAGGAATTGACAATATTGGGAGCTCAACAGCTGATGGAGTTGCGAAGGAGAGGCAAAATGAAATGGGGCAGCAATGCGAAAGGTACCTTATCAGTAAAACTATGCAATAAATTACAGCATTTTACCAGCAGATATATGGAAAATTGGCCCTGGAAAACTAATCTTTCCAGTAAAACTGGCATGTTTTACACGAATAGCCTCGTTAAATGTCTGTCTCACACAAGATAACATCAGAAGAAGAGGAATAGTTCCGTGCAGCAGGTGTTACAGTGAAATGAAGAAACAGAAGGCATTTGCACTTATTTCTCCACTGCACAATTGCAAGAACATTTGGAGCATGTTTTTGAATCAGTTTGGTCTGCCATGGGTTATAGCAAACAAATGGAAGCATTTATGCGATTGGGGTAGATGGGAAGTCAAAGACTCCAGAAAGATTTGATAGATGATTTCTCTGACCAACTTTTGGTGTCTATGGAAGGAGAGAAAACCTGATATGCTTTGGAGGAATCTCAACGTCTTCATCTGTCCTAAAGTCTAGATGTCTAGTGAAGCTTTTTTGTTGGTATATACAGAAAATTGTGGACAATGCAGAACACTTTTTGGATTTGGTAGGCTCACAGTATTATGGTTAGGGATGGCAAAGAACATGTAAAGAACACCAATTTATTGCCTGAATTGTACTCTGATGAGATCTACAGGATGCATATCCACAAAATTTCATTACTTCATTATAATTATAAATAGAACACGAAAGCATTATCTAAGGAGGAATCCAAGTTCTTAGATAGCAAAAGGCCCTATTTTGTCTTTCTTATTTTCTTTAACCTTTTAAAGTCAAATGAAGAAAAAAAAAATCCCCTTCCGTCCTACTGTATGAAGAGCACATTTCCTTGAAGTTGCTTCGCTCTACCAGTGTGAAGCAAGGAACCCTCACCCTATATGTCATTGCTTAATGGGCGAATAAATGGCTTTTAATAGCATTGGATGATCTTTACTCCAGAAAGCAGAAATTATACTTCAGATCCAAAAAACATCTCAGAATTCGGTTAGAGCTTTCATAGGATTGGTAAGATTTTCTAAACAAGAGATTTTTGCTTGAGACCTAAAGTGATCTCTTGGTTTTCTGATGTTCTGTTATCATATAGGCATCGGAAACTCTAAACGAAGTAACCAAAACTCCTGAAGGAGAGGAGAGAACTATTTATGGTGGCATGGGCACATCAAAGCTATATATAAGGTGTAGGAGGGATACAAGCTGACAAACCAAACTGGTACTCAGAATACTAAATGGCCTTGTAAGCACATCTAGAAAGCCAAAGTGCCTCACAAAGTGGCATGTTTCACTTGGCTTTTAAGCTAATGAGGCTGCTTTGACTCTTGACAATGTGCAAAGAGGAGAATCTCTTTATGCAATAGATGTTCTTGATGTGGAAAAGATACAGAGACAGTGAGGCATCTATTCCTACACTGTAAAATCACTGACCAACTGTGGCAGATTTTCTTCAATCTCAGAGGCATCTCTTGGATAATACCTTGTCAGATTGATGAGACTCTTTTCAGTTGGGAGGAAGCTGGTTTTGGAGCAAGAAAACAAAGACAGATGGAGGATTATCCTTGCCTGCATCTGGTGGACTATGAGGAGAGAAAGGATGACAGATGTTTTAAGAACAGGAGTAGCAATATGCAGGAGATTAAACTTAAATGTATTTTGTTGTTCTGCTTTTGGTGTACAAATATTTACTTGAGACTGCGGCAATTCTGGATGTTTTAGGGTCCATCTAGAGCTAGGTCTAACTCCTGGGAAGAGTTTTACTTCCTTTAAATGTAAATATCGTTTTTCCAGTACTACTAAGTACTGATATAAATACAAATGTTACAGTTACCAAAAAAAAAAAAACGAAAAAGATGCAAGTTCACTGGAAGGAAAATCCTGTCATTTCTTATCCAAATGATTCAGGTCATAAAGCTAGTTATAAAATCATACCTTCCAGATTTTGAAAAATGTCCTGCACCCATTTCACATTTGAACAAGAGTAAATTATCATTCGTCTTCATATCTCTCAACTTGGCCACAAACTTTGCTGGCTCAGAGTACATAACACGTGGATCTGTCACAATTTAAGACCTCATATTAAATCAAAAGTAGAAATATCTAAACAAGTGACTGGAGATTACTCCTTTATTTCATGGTTGTATCACCAAGTTTATGTTATGACAGATATAAACCATTATATCAGTTTTTACTAATTTTGTCCATATTTATAAGCAATTATCCTTAGTTGCTACAAAAGATAAGTACATACTTATGGACTGCAGAAAATTACGCTGGATCACAAAGATGAGATCATATTAATTAAATGAACTCGAATCTTATGACTGTCTTTTGATAAGATACAAATATCTTATTTTGCATTTATCCTGTTCTGAATCTAAAAACTCTACAGGAAAAGCAATCATTTGCTACTAGATTATAAAAAATAAATAATACAAATTAGCTAAGTATCAGAATTAACGCTTTGATGACCTGAAATGTTGACAGTGTTCTAAGTATATGATTTTATCGGAAGTTGACATTTGCTGAGAAACTCTTAATCTTTTTCTCCTGTGGATTGACAGTACTAGCAAAGCATATTAAAGTATAGTAGCATTAAATGAGAAGAAACTGAAAAGAAGTCATCCCAAGATGTATCTCTGAATAAATTACTGGTTTTCTAATTTAGTTAGAAGTGTCCATAGTTCATCACCAGAGAGATGAGGAGTCAAACTAATAAGCCATCATTTGTTCAAGTAATTAACTCCAGAAGTCAGACAGTTTAAACTGCCAGCTTTAAAGGCGATCAATTTCTGAAGCATAAAAAAGTTACTGCTGTGCATCATTGCAAGAAAATTGGCTTCGGCTTATGATCTAACTATATCCAATAAGCTTCATTTGGAAGGTTTTTTTCAAAACTTGGTAACTTGTCCTATAAGACAAATTATGGTTCTTTAGAACTAGGAATTCTTCACATCTCATTTTTTATCCCTGGACTGACATACTAGTCTCCAAACAAAGACTCCTAATGATATTAAATCTATGTAAGTGTACCAACAACGAACCAACCTTGATCCCAATTAGTTGGGCTTTTACCTATATGGATACTTTGCTTTTGCGTATTCCATTCTTCGTTGAGTTCCTCATGGATTCTAACCAAGAAACTGTAAACAACTTCAGTCCATGCCATCTTACGCGCATTCATTGCATTTAAATACTTTTACTCACCAGTGTCCCACATGGAAGAACAGACTGATGCGTTTAGATGTCTACATAGGACATAAAAAACCATCTCACTCAACCTTCTATAATTTTATACCCGGAATGTACTGTACCTTCCGTGTGGATATGTTGAGCCTCTAAATTCTATACTACTCATATTTGATAGATATGTTGGGCCTTAGAGTCCCAAGACAGTCAATTCCATGTAACATTACTAGTTTCACAACTGTTAATGGAGCCAACTCCCTCCAGAATTCAAAAGCAAGTTTGAGGAAATGAACATTACCAAGGCCCTTTACCACCCTCCCCAAACACTTTTTCCTTTCCTATCATATATCTTCAAAACTGGAAATTGCTGCACCAGCTTCCATTTCACTTACCATTCAAGCCAGCTGTAACAAGAATGTCTGGATAATTCTGTGCTTTGACCTGTAAGAGAAAAAGGAAAAAAGAAAAAGGCAAAGGCATGTTGAGTTGTTAACATAAGTGTACTTTCCTGATTGTGTTGCTCAATGCACAAACCTTAAGTAGTTTTTTTGGGAGACGGATATATTACTTACATTATCAACAGGGGAATATGACTTCATGTAGGAATAGAATTCTTCCTGACGTGGATCACCCCATTCCTGTAGCAAATGAATAGATTAAACATCAATCACAAACTTCAAAATATCCATCTTCCAAGTCTCACAATCTAGTTCTCACACCTCCTCAAATACACCTTATGCACATTTAGATCCACGTTACAAAAATTTACTACTACAGTTACAGTTTATCCACTGGAAATCTGAGGCATAATCAATGCCATTACCACAAAAGTTCACTCTCAGATACTGTTGTAATGATATCCGCGCATTGATCATCTAAGTGATTTCAAATGGAGAATCCACACCAATGAATGTCATGCCACTTAATATTTCTCATTAAAGTAAGACATATGCGGATTTCAATTAAAGAGATCTAACCTCCCACTCTGAAGTTGTTAAAGGAATAGTTGGATCAAGCATTGTAGTTACAACATCTACAAAAGGAACCCCAGCAACAGCGGCTTTGAACAAATTAGGACGCATGTTAACAACAGCACCGATCAGCAATCCACCTGCACTTCTTCCATTGATACAAAGCTTTTCCTTGGAACAGTACTTCTTGTCTATTAAATATTCTGCACAAGCAATGAAATCTGTGAAAGTATTTTTCTTTTTCAACAGTTTCCCATTTTCATACCACTGCCTCCCCATTTCACCACCTCCACGAATGTGAGCAATAGTGTAAATGAAACCCCTGTCTAACAGAGAAAAGCGTGACGCCTTGAAAGTGGGATCAATACATATCTGTTAGGAATATGACATTTGCAGTGTCAGCAAAGAATGATCAAGCTAAAAGTATTAGAGAACATATTAATGGCTGTGACCTTGCACAAAATATAAATCTCAGGAATTCCACAATTGATAGACTGAAGAATTCACATAAATACAATTAGAAAGCCATCAATTGTTGGTGAATTTTCATTTATACCGAGGACAACGTGTACGCTTTTCTTGTACCCTCCTTTAAAAAGAAAAAAACAAAAGGATTCGTCTAATAGTGTATATCAAAGACTATCAAATTAAAACCATACGTGAATACCCATTGGCAACACAATCAATTCATTCTTTAAAAAATTGACATTTTAACTCCTGAACTCAGATGACATACATTGTATTATCAGATCATTTCATGTAACTTTGCATTTTTTACCTGCAGTATTTTTCTACAAAGAGTAAACTTCACAAACTCTTGTTCCATTTACACAAATGGTCATCAGTACAAAAAAAGGACATGTCGCAACTTCTCCATCTAAGATCTGTGAGATTCTGTAAAACACAGATACAGATATGACCACACTGCACTTAGCTTAACCACAACAGAGATATTGACCTTCTTCCTTCAGATCAACAAGAAAAGGAAGGACAAATACAGAGTAGTACTCCACATTTAGTTACTCAATAATTAGCAAGAAAATCACCTCGTAGGATCCATAACCATAAAGAAGCAACGGATCTGAACTATCAAGTTTTACAAGATTTTTTTGATAGATTATTGATATAGGTATCTGTGTGCCATCTGAAGCAGTAGCCCATTGCCTCTCAGTTACATAATTTGATGCATCAAAGCCTCCCAGTACCTAAATAAGATAATGAAACAAACCATTACAACTAATAACCAAAGTTCAATAACCATTAATTGCTGATCAAAGAACGTGAAAATGTTCCAAAAACACAAAGAACCAAAAGAGTTATACAAGACTGCTATATTCATATTTCTAGTATGATACTTCAAAGGGATGGCCAATGCTATATTCATATTTCTAGTACGATACTATAAAGGGATGGCCAAAATGTTCTTTCTTTGAGATGAGCGAAAAATTCTGAACACCAGAAGCATGTAATCAGTATGCACTGACTGCTTATCTCATCAGTAAAATTCTTCGAATAGGAATAGGAATCCTAGTTGGAAAAAGAGTCTAATGTAGTGTCTATAAATAGGGTCTTTAGGTAACAATTTGATACACAATTCAATAATATTATCTTCTATATTTCACACATGATACTCATTGGTGGGAAACGTCAAGTCACCGTGTCAAATTCTGGCGACGGTTAGGGCTGATTTGTGTTATCTTTCATTCTGAAGGTGTTGTGCGAAAACCAACACCATCACGAGGCTCAGGAAGCTCAGGAGACCAAACCCCAGCCAGTACTACCGGAAAAAAACCCCTCACGCGCTCTCACGCGCCGTTCGAAGGTGGAAGTTTTCATGCGAGATCTGGATCACGCACCGGCACATAAGGGCCGCTATGGTCTTGTTTTTTGAGCTGTTTTTTTCTGTTGGGGTCGTCCAGTATTTCTGATCAAACCCATCCAGTTTTCTCCAGAACCGATCGCTGGAATTAGGGTTCCGGCGATTTCCAGGCAGTTTCCGGCAAGTTCCCGGTGAAATCAGAATTTCCAAGCAGTTTCCAGGCACTGTAGGCTGATTCCAGCAAGTTTCTTACTATTTTCACGTCAAATTTTGAAAAATATCTTTTGGTTGTGATGTTTTTGGCTCCAAAAATACGGGGATTGGAAGTACAAGCTCTATAATCACTTCAGAACCATTAATGGAAAGTACAAACTATTTAGCTTGGGCTTCCTCAGTTGAGTTGTGGTGCAAGGGTCAAGGTGTTCAAGATCACTTAACAAACAATGCTTGTGTGTTAGATGAAAAGACAGTCCAGTGATGAGGTTGCAAAAGTCAAAGCACAATGGGAGAAAGTGGATGCTCAATTATGTAGTCTCCTTTGGCGCTCTTTGATTCAAAGTTGATGCCCTTGTTTCGCCCATTCCAGACATGCTATTCAGTTTGGGAAAAAGCATGAGCTTTATACACTAATGACATATCTCGGTTCTATGATGTGATATCTCGGATGACAACTTAAAGAAACAAGAATCCGATATGTCTACTTACTTGGGACAGGTACAGGAAGTCATGGAGGAATTTGAAACTTTGATGCCAGTCACTACAAACGTGGAAAAGCAACAACAGCACAGGCAAACATTATTTCTAGTTCTTACACTTGCTAGACTTCCTACTGACCCTAATCTGTGTGTGACCAGATTCTAGCCAGTCCAATGGTTCCTACAATTGATGAATTATTCTCTCGTCTACTTCATCTTGCTGCGCCTCCTAGTCACAAAGTAGTTTCATCACCCACTGTTAACTCCTCTATTCTCGCATCTCAAACCATATAAAAATGAACATATCCGTCTATGGACAATCAGCAAGGAGGAGGACCTTTTGGGAAACCTCGATCCAAGTGTAGTCATTGTCATAAAATTGGACACACTCGTGACATATGTTATACTTTGCACGGTCCACCACCTAGCTATGATCCTATTTTATTTTATTTTTATAAAGTAAAGTTGTATTCCTCAGCAATGAGGGTATGCTGGCAACCATCAAAAAGATTTACATCAGTGACCCAAAAAAGACCAACGCAAGAAATTGCTACTAAACTTATAAAGAAGAGAAAAAAATTTAAAATCTGTCCAGCATCCTCTATACCCTCCTCATTACAGCAAAAACAGAAGGTCTTCATACAACACCATTTGATCTTTTGTACTGATTCTGCAGTATTTTCCATACACCTCTTGTTTCTTTCACTCTAAATAGTCCACCATATCCACCATTTCTTCTGGCTCTTACTCCCCCCCTCTTCTCACCCAGCAACTAAGAAGGTCTGCAGTGTGTTCTGGCATTGTCCATTTTGTGTGTGTTCTGCTTAGAAAAATGGTCCATAATTGAGCAGTGACTTTGCAATGGAGGAATAGATGGCTATTAGTCTCATTTGTCTCATTACACAATGAACACCAGGAAGCTATTTCAAAGCCTCTTCTTTGCAGCTTCTCATGAGTTAGGCATGCCCTTCTAGCCACTAGCCATGAGAAACACCTCACTTTAGTTGGCACTTTATTTTTCCATACCTTACTCCATGGTCCAGAGATTTCCCCTGGAAGTTCCTTTACTTTCCTATTGTACAATCTGCTGACTGACAACATACCATCATGATTGTGTTTCCAAATCATTACATCAACTTCCAGATTTGTGCCCTTGAAATCATCTAGTGTTTGTAGCATCTCGGCTACTCTCCCTATCTCCCAGTCATTTAGTAACCTTCTGAAGCTGAAATTCCACCCTTGTTCAGACATCAAGGAGTCCTGACCAATCCAGTGATCTTTCAAGAAAAGAACCCTGGTCCCATTCTCCACTTTGTATCTAATATTGTGTTGTAGTTGACCCCATAAATTTCTGATAGTTCTCCACACTGAGACACCATACGGGATATTCACCATATCGGAAACCCATGGGCTATTCTGGCCGTACTTGTTACTGATAACTTCCTTCCAAAGTGCTTGATCCTCTCTTCCGAACCTCCACAACCATTTTGCCAACAAGCATTTGTTTTGTAACCCCAAGTTTCTGATCCCTAACCCCCCCCCCCCCCGAGCTTCTACTCGGCAAAGCAGTTTGCCATTTGACAAGATGTATTCTTTTACCTTCGTTGATTCCCGACCAAAGAAAATCCCTCCTTAATTTATCAAGTCTTTCTTCCATTTTGGCCGGCATAGGGAATAGGGACATCACATAAGTAGGTAAAGAGTCTAGTACAGAGTTTATCAGAATGGTTCTCCCACCGAAGGATAGATATTGAGATTTCCAGTTTGCCAGCTTCTTCTCAGTATTTTCAATTATACCATCCCATATCACTAGCTCTTTATGGTTGTTTCCAAGTGGCATACCTAGGTAAACAGTTGGGAGTTTTTCAATTCTGCACCCCAAAATGTTTGCTATGGCCTGGATCTGTGTCACCTCTTTGATGGGATATATACAACTCTTCCTCCAATTGACTGCCAAGCCTGAGACCGCCTCAAAGACTACCAATATCATTCTGACAATTCTAATTTGTTCCTCCTTAGCTTCACAAAATATGACAGTGTCGTCAGCATAAAGCAAGTGACAAATCTGCATATCCACCCCTGAGAAATTGCCTACTTTGAATCCTTGCAACAATGAGTTTTGAGTAGCCACCCTCATCACACTATCGAATCCTTCCATGTCTATGATGAAAAAGAAAGGGGACAAAGGGTCTCCCTGTCTGAGACCTCTTTCTGAGGTAAAAAAACCAGTAGGTTCTCCATTTATCAGAATGGAGAACCTAACAATTTTTATACAGACCTCAATCCATCTCAACCATCTCTCACCAAACCCCATTTGTTTTAACATATTGAGCAAAAACTCCCAGTTGACATGATCATATGCCTTCTCAATGTCTAGCTTGCACATAACTCTAGAGTCAGCCCCTCTGAGTCTAGTATCTACACATTCGCTAGCAATAAGGGCAGCATCCATGATCTGTCTGCCTTTTATGAATGTCATCTGATGTTTGTTTACCAGTTTGTCGATTACTTTCTTCAACCTCTCAGCTAGCAGCTTAGCTATAATTTTGTATACCCCGCCTATCAAACTTATGGGTCTGAAGTCCCTAAGATCAACTGCCTCTGTCTTCTTCGGGATAAGAGCCACAAAGGTGGCATTCAAGCTCTTCTCAAAGACCTGCTGATCATGAAATTGTCTGATGGTATTCATGATATCTACCTTGAGCATCTCCCAAAAGTTCTGATAAAAGCTCATAGGAAACCCATATTTGTCGCTTGCACACAATTTGATTCCTTCTGCCACTTCTTCTTCCTCGAACTGTCTTTGTAACCAATCATTTTCCTCCAAACTGATGCTTTCAATGCCTTGTAAGTTTAGGCCAAGCCTCCAATTCTCAGTTTCTCTATATAGTTTCTGATAGAAATTAGTAATCTCTGTTTTGATCTCATCAGTATCAGTCAACTCCCTGCCATTTACTTCCAATTTTTCAATTGAATTTATTCTTTTGTGTGCTGTGGCCATCCTATGGAAGTACTTGGTGTTCTTGTCTCCATGTTTGAGCCATTGAATTCTTGATCTTTGTCTCCAAGCTTTCTCCTCATTCCTGGAAGCTTCATCAAATTCCCTAGATAGATGAACTTTTTGAAGGAGTTCATCATCAGTCAATATTCTCTGCTCTTGTACCTTTTCCAGACCAGCAATTTGATTATCTCTTCCTTCTTTTGTTTCCAGTTGACTCTGTTCTCATAGCCCCATTGTTTCAACTTCCATTTCAGTAACTTCAGTTTGGAAGCTAAGATAAAAGAGGGGGTCCCATTTACTGAGAAGGAGCACCACCAATCTTTTACCTTCTCCCTGAAACCTTCTACTTGCATCCACCATTGTTCAAACTTGAAATAAGATTTCTTCAAGTTAGCTCCCCGCAAGTTAGCATCACTGAATTGTGATCGTCTAGTCTTGGTAGAAGACTTTGCCTAACTTGTGAGAAAGAGTCGTCGCAATGATGAGAGTAAAGAAATATATCCAATCTAGAAGCAGTCGAATGGTTTTCACCCCTTCTCCAGGTGTACAATCCTCCAAATAAAGGAGGGTCAATTAGCTCCATTTCATTTATCCAATCTGTGAAGTCAGACATAGCCCCTGTTAATCTCTGTCCAGTTGATCTTTCCGTGGGATATCTTGTCACATTGAAATCCCCACAAAACAACCAAG